CACAAAAAAAAAAAGTGGGGGGGGGGGGAAGGGGGAGAAGAGAGAAGGTTGCCTACCCCTTTAAGGGTGGCCATTTTGAATTCTGTTCTCTGCAGTACACCTCCGACTGCCTCGTGTGCCGCGGAACACAGTTTAAGGAACACTGGTTTAGTGCATTGGGGGTGTAATGACAGAGGTAAACAAAATAATGAATGGTACAAAGGAGGTCGATCCAGCACTCCTATTTACCTTAATATGATAATACAAGGAAATTGAAAGGAATAAACCCACTGCCAATATGTTTATTTTATTATGAAATGCATAAGCAGCAGAACTCAGTGCCACAAGGTATCAGGCAAGATATTAGTGGGATTAGAAATTGATATGGGCAATATGCACATCTATAAATAAGGATTGGTAAAAAAGTAAAAACAAGAGGTACAAATAATCATCTGTAAGGGCATAAGATATTCACAAATATCAGGTGTTGAGGAAGAAAAATACTATATTGTTATTTTGTTATTGTTCATGATTAAATATTTGTACAGTAGCACCCAGGAACCATGATCAGGTGTAGCCAGTTTTGTTGGGAGGTTACAATGTAGAGAATTCTTTGAAACAATACTGAATTCTTTGATACCGGCCACCGCTTTCCCTAGATGGACCCTGCTCCCGCTAGGTATGGCAATCCCTGTGTTAATAATCTGAGGTACAGATAAAGGATCCCTTCTCCTAAGGCTGTTTATGAGCATCAGCACTCTGGTCTGCAACTTGCCCAAAGCAAAGGAAAAGACTTAAATATTACAAATGAGGCATTACATTAGAGCAGTGGTCAGCAAGATTGGGATCTACTGGTAGATCCTGACTGGTTTGGCCAGGAGGCTATCAAATACCAGCACTTCAGCTGCCCCTTCTCCCACTGCTGCGCATTTCCCGCTCTTTGCCTTGGAGCTGCCTCCCCCACTCACAGGAACCTCCTACGTTGTGTAAAGCAGGGAAGAAAGAGAAGGGGGTGCTGACATCAGGGTGCCCCCTCTCCCACCGTGTATTCCATCTCCACAGAATGGAGGGGGGCACAACAGGACTTGGGATGGCGTTAGCTGGCTGTTTTTGAGAGTGGTACAGGGCCAAGACAGGGGTGAGCCTGCCTTAGCCCCACTGCACCACCACCCAAGAGCCACCAGAGGTAAGAAGTGTCCAGATGGAGCCAGCGCCGTAGTCCTGCCCCAGTCATGTACCCCACTCTACACCCCAAGCCCCTGCCCCAGCCCTGAGCTCCCTAAACCCAAACTCCCTTACAGAGCCTGTATCCTGAATCCCATCCTGCACCCCAACCCCCTGCCCCAGGCTCAGCTCAGATCCCCTCTCACATTTCAAATCCCTTAGTCCAAGACCAGATCTTGTTCCCCAACCCTCTGCCCCTGCTTGGTGAAAAGGAGGGAAGATGGGGAGGGAGGACGGAGTGAACAGAGGCAGGGCCTCAGAGAAGGGGCACTAAAGAGGTGGGACAAGGGTATTTGGGTTTGAGGTAGATCCCAATTGCATTTTAATTGCATTTAAATTAAAAGTGATCTTGTGCTTAAAAAGGTTGAGACCATCGAATTAGAGGGTAAGAGATGGCAGACCCACAACAACAATATAGTGGATCCAAAAAATTACACCCCCACTAAAACTCCTTTTAAAAAGCAGCTGAAAATATTTCTACTAGGAACCTAAATTGTCCAAGATTACCACATGTTTTAGACTATGAAGACACATATGATTTCACATGTATGGCACTGGGAAAAATATATTAACAATAATCATCATAGTTTGAGGGATTTTTTTTGGAGGAAAGATTATTCACCAGTCAAATTAAAATGTACCACTTAAGTTGGAATCTTTTGTATTCAGGGTAACAAAAATTGTCTGCTTTGCTTGACTGATGAGGATTAGCTGACTTTTTGCATTAAAGAAGTTTGTCTTATATGGGCTGAAGTGACAAGACAATAACTAAGTGCTAATTGTGCATAACCAACACTAAAGATATGCAGCCCCATTATGGCATGTAATAAATGAAGCGAACAACAGAAATATATTAGGCACTTTAATAATGATACTAGAACAGTGGTTTGCAGCACTACGGATGTGAAAGGTTTTCGAATCTGAATTTTTAGGGGGTGGGGGGAGAAGAGAGAGTGTCTTACTTCAGTGGGTTCTACTGATAGGGTAGACAGTATTTTGAATATAGCCCTTTATTTGGTAGCAAGGTAAAATTGATACAGGATCTGTAAATAGCATTATAACCTATAATTATTTTGCATTATTATATCATTTAAGCTGTGGTTATTATTTGTCTGATATTTTAATTTTCCATGCAGCATGATGAAAAAGGTCAATTTAGCTTTTTTAAAGTGTAATTGTATCATGCTATACTTATTAGCAGTTGTACATTTTATGTTGCTCTAGGGATGCTTGATTTTTAAATTACTACAATGCTATAGAACCACATGCTGTAGTACAGAGTAAGTTAGCTTGGCTTATTTAGAGCTAAATTTACATTTGGTGACTATTATATTAGAATATTATTGTAATAATTTTTAGTTAGTACCTAAGAAAGTTGTATCCTGAGCATTTCTTCTTATGAAAATGCAAACTGTAAAATGTGTTACTAAATGTAGGATTATATCATAGAGGCAATGTAATCTATACATGAGACAGTGCTTGTGAATCAGTTCTTTTATTTCCAGCTTTGACATCCTGGCCTCACAGAAGTCAATGGCAAAATCCTCAGTTAACTTCCAAAGGGCCAAGATTCCACCCCCTGACAGGCAGAGAGTTTAAAACAGATTACAGGATTTAGCTGACCAACTCCGAAGGAAATTACTGGGAATTGTGAGACCAAGTGTTCATTGACTTTGAAAATATCAACCATTGTGATTTTGCTGTGTAGATGCTGATCCTGCACCATATTCTACCTGGATGAATGTCTCTTTGTCGTTGCAAGAACATTTACACAGAACAAGTTTGCAGGAGTGGGACCTTGGAATATTTATGTCACAAGAACGTGGCACCTGATTTCAATACGGATTTACAAAGAACAATGGAATGCAATGTTCTGTAAATTAAAAACAGGAGTTCTGTCAACAGAAAGAAACCGTATGTATTTTAAAAGACGTTTAACTGACAAAGCTGTGGAATTTCAAGATAATTAACATAATCATGATAAATAGCACTGCTTTGCACTTTTCTACAGCAGAGGATCTCGAAGCACTTTATAAATATTAATTAATTAAGCTTGACAAGCACCCTTGTGAGGGAGCAGAAGTATAATTATTCTTGTTTATTGATGAGGGAACTGAGGCACAGCAAGATTAAGGGACTTGCCCAAGGTCATGCAAGTTGTCTGTGGCAATACTGAGCAAGAATCCAGGTGCAACTCCCAGCCTTGTGTTTCAACCACTAGCCAATGTTTTCTCCCCATTTAACAAAAATACACACCCACCCACCCACCCAGGCTCAGTTTTAGCCTATGGAATTAAATCAAGAAATCTTACCTCTGATTACAAAGTTGACATGCAAAACAGTCCAGGTGGTAAACATTTTCCTTGGCTCTCATCACCATTTCAAAAGCAGGTATGAGCTTACTGCAAGCAGCGCAGTTTCCTGTGACACCAAATAACCTGAAAACACACAAAGGGAAGATATTCCAGGATACAGTTATATGGGAGGGAAGAGAGTTACACCTCCATTTATTTTCTTGGGCTTTATAAAAAATGTGTGATTACCATTCAACTGCTCAGTATGCCTTTCTTGGGAAAGGCTGGTATATAGCAGAACAAGCACATTCATGCCACAATCCATTTGAAGTCACTCGCTGAAAGTGTGATAGCATTGGGAAGCTCTATAAAACAATGCTTTGAAAATAATTTTTATGCTGGTTATATACATAAATATTCTTCTTGGGTACATACTTCTTAGTGAAAGAAGCATCTTGTTCAAGCAAATGAGGAAATGTCAAATACATTAGGAAAGTTACATAACCACATGCAAGCAGAGGTCAACCAGTTTGAAATACGGTAAGCATCTTTCTACTTCGATTGTACCGTAAATATGAAAGCCACAACCTTGGCCTCGATGCTATTTATTATTAAAAACACACTTTAGCTAGCAAAGAAATAACACTTAAAAAAGCTAGTATTCTCCACATTTCTGACATCTAGTGCTAAAAGCTTTACCGTTATTATTAAAAGAACATTTTATGAACAAGTCATTTAAATCGTCAGAAAGCATTAGCGGTTCACACACCTTACAACCCTTTACCATAGTTATAGCTATGATTATGTTATTCAGGTAGCACATTAAAGCAAATGAGGCTGTAAACTATATATAGCCACATCAAGAGCAGAGGCATAATACACTGCAAGAACAATTTGAAATGTCTGGTAAAAATGCCTAATATAGATTTAAAAAATAATTTTAAAAGATTTCTTTGTTAAAGATTTCTTAAAACTTTTCAAACGAGATCACTACAAAGAAAGCTTCTATGTATGCATGCCTTTGTAACATATGAGGATTACAATGAACAAGAAAAAAATGCTTTTGCTACACACACCAGCAATTTTTGAAACTAAGTTCTATTTAAACTATCTAATAGTTGTGATGGATTATTAAAAGTAATGCTCTGCCCGCATACTGCAGTTAATGCTGTTTTTAAACTATGAAGCAAACTAGATGAAAACGCCACATCTGCCAGTTCTCTTTTTTCCTCAACATCAGGCTGACAGCAGAAAAATATAATGGCTCTCAAGGGAAACACCAAATTAAAAGCTGTTCTAAACTAATGAATTCAAAGGTGCTCTGTATAAAATTCAGTTTGGTAACATAAAAATGAATGCACTTTTTTAATCACATCTTTCCATTCTACTGAATTTCACAAGTTACCAACAAACCTATTTAATTCCAATTCCTTTTACCTTCTGCTTCCACTTAAAACGCACTTTTTGGATAAATACACCATGTTTATTTTAAAGTTCTGAGCCATTTTTAATGATTGCCTGATGTGCTGGTTACCATTATTTGAAGACATTTTTTGAGTTAACCAACACCAAGGCTTTACCAGCAGTGTTGTTACTCAGTTCTCAGATTTTTCAAAACCATGTCAACTGTGTTTCTGTTAACTGTTAAAATGTAGAATTAAAGTTACAGATACACAGTTCTTTTTAATCAAGCCCTAGGCCCAGCTCTGCTACAGACTTGTCGGATGGGCTCCATTCAAACCTCAGTTCCTCATCTGTAAAATAGTCCTAATACCCTACCTACTTCATAGGCATGACGAGATTCAAGGCTTGTGAAGACTGTTCAGATCATCTGACCAAGGGCCCAGTTTTGCATTCCTTATGCACCCACCTTGAAGTCAACAGTACAAGAAATGCAGATCCAGTGGCAAAAGGTGCTATATAGTATTATACTGAACTATTGCATGAAGGTTATGCTTTAAAAGACCAATATAGCAAAGCACTTAACCACAGCTTTAACTTGAAGCAAATAGGCATGTGCTTAACTATTTTGCTGGATTGTGGATTAAATGCATGTGGTGTTACTCTTTGAAGTCTTATTCTATAGGACTTCCATTTAAACCTGAGGTTCACTGTAGTTTTGCATACTGGAGTGTGATGAAATAATTTGGGACCACCCTTCTGCATCCCTACCTTGGGGGTGGGGGAGAGCAGGGAGGGGAGAAAACACTGGAGTTCACTGTGTGGGGGGGTTTTATCGAACAGTTCTCTAGCCTTACCCCCACCACATGGAAACTGCTTCACTTTTAAGCACCAGATCTATTCATAAAATTTCAACTAAGCAGTGGCGAGGAAACCTCCTTTACAGTGAATTCTCCCCTAGACTAGCAAACAAAGTCACACGAGATTAATATTAGTTACAGTTAATTTTAGATAAAGCTGTTTATATTAAGAACATTGTTTCCCCTATTAATAACAATAATAATAATAAAACCCCACAATGCCATTTTGAAATTCTGGACATAGTTTTCCCCCAATTTCAATTGCTCTCGCTCCCTTAGCATTTATCAGCTACCTGATTAGAATTTGTTTCCACACAAACCATTGATCATCAGCCTATTACTAGGCAAATGACAGTTAATTACCCACTACATTAACCACTGGGACCTGAGACCTGCTTCTGCTGCCATCAGTCAACATGATAAATGTGGCAAGTTCAGTAATGCATGGCCAGCCCTGAGCTGCCTGCTATAGTGTGAACAACCCTCAATCTCACTTCCAGGCCCAGGAAAATCTATGGCAATCTGCATAATTACAAGCTCTGGGTTAATAACAGACAAATGATTTGTTGCATCTAAACAAAGTCCTTGGAATGGGCCTGGTCTCCGGTGGCTGCCCAGGCTGCTGTTTTGCCACGGGTGTACTTTCCTGTACAATGCGCACAAAACAGATCTCTGGTGCTATATCCTTCCAATCTGTTGCCCTCCAATTTATGGATTCTGCATATGTGATTTTTAATCATTAAAGAACTCTTGAAGCAATATTATCTTAATTATTCTCTGCTGTAACCAGGGAATTAGGCTTCAGATAAAATTTTCTTCTTCTGTGCACTTTCCCTGCCTCGCTGGAGGCTCCATCAGTTTTCATCTACACCTGGACTCTGAAATCCTAATGATGAATTATTGCCCCTTTTCCTAAGAGGGCGAACCTTACAAGGGAACGTTCTACTGAACTGTCAGCTCACAGACTGAGTGCGGAGATGCGGAAATCTGATCTAATTTACTGCAAAACGATGCATTTGTTAGACTCTCTCCTCAGTTTCGCCCAAGCATCAAGAGATCAGTCAACAGCCACTTTCGGGTGCTCCTTTGTGTGGGAGCATGTACCAGACTCTCCAAATCATACATGTCCCCTCCTCCCCCAAAACTGGATACTGGAACAAGGTTTTACTTTATGAATTCAACATTTTTTGTTTTTACTAAAATGATTGCTTTCTAACAGTCTCCTATTTCAAACTGATGCTTGGAGAGACAGACTCCCAAGTTTGCTTTTGTTTACCCAAAGAATGGCATGTGTATATCTCTCTGCTCTATTTTTACCCAATCCTCATACACCCAACTCAGGTTGTTCCTCTCTGCAGTCATTAGAAGGTTTAAGACTCAGCAGCTTCTCTTCCATTGGTGCTGAAACTAGTAGTGCTGCAGCTTGAAATGGTTTCCATTATACACAGGGTTTACAGTCTGCTTTAATGTCCCTCCACACCCGCAGTACAAAAATTATTCCAGTGCTTCTGCTCCCTTCTATATTAAAATGTCATTGCACTGTGTCCTAGTTTGCCCTAGGGTATATGATATTGGTCCTTCCTGATTTCCCTTCTGGCAAAAGGTTAGAGAATTTGTTAGACAAAACTAGTTTTCCTCTAGAATTTTTGAATCATCCTCCCAAACTGTGTTTGCACTTAGTTTCTTAAAATATAGAAGAATTGTATCAATCCATGGCTGCAAGCCAACAAAGATTCATTTACAAAATCCCGGAAGGATGCAGAACATGGTGCACGTAGGTGCACCAAACCAACAAGCCAACCAAACCAAAACAAGAAAACAAATGAAAAGCCAAACATGCACCACCACCACCACCACAAAACCAAAGCAAACCCAAACCTGACATTTTACATAAGAAGCAACCTAATTATACATCATACTATAGATTCTGCTTTGGTGGATTTCCAGAGTAGGAACCTGAAGATTAAGTACAGCATTTAATTGGTGATGGAAAGTGCCAGGACTCAGCCTAGCTCAAATTAAGCACTGATGCACAACCTATGCACCAACTCTGCTATCTTCCATGCATCCCCCCCCATCCTCCAAACACTCTCAGAACTGTTTATGTCCTATATACCCTCAAACCTACAATTGTCCCACACACCCCACCCCAAACATACCCCCACACTGTGAGACTATCCTGGGGAATTGGTGCTTCAGTTACCAAGTGAGGCAGAGGACATGGAACAGAACTGTGCTGTCCCCCACATCACCCCCATCTCTATCCCCTCTCAATGCTGCCCAAGCCACTGCTCCTGTATACAGGCAGTCCCCGGGTTACATACAAGATAGGGACTGTAGGTTTGTTCTTAAGTTGAATCTGTATGTAAGTCGGAACTGGTGTCCAGAGTCAGCCGCTGTTGAAACTGACCAGGGGCTGACTACAGGAAGCCCGAGGCAGAGCAACTCTGCCTCCGGCTTCCTGTAGTCAGCACTGGTCAGTTTCAGCAGCGGCTGGCTTGGGGGCGCCCTGGGGAGGGGC